TGTACACTTTCTCAAGTGGTGCGTAAGCTGGAGCGCTGGGGTTTTGGTGAGTGTCAGAATGTCATATTTGTCTAGCCTGCAGTGGGGTACTCTATAGTGAGTACAGCCCAATCTAGGGTTTCCTATATGTACTCAACTGCTTGCTAGTGCAATCATCTTCTCTCATTCATCCCTGTTTAATTTCTTCACATGGTATAGAGCTGGTTCCCTCCTGGGACTGTTCCTTCCTAGGGCCCACCACTTCGCTAAACTTTTTTTCTGCCCTGCCCTTAGCGCGTTTCGCGCTCTGCCCTGCTGCCCGTCGCGGCCCTTCGTGCCCCCTTCGTGGCCCCTTCGCGACCCCGTCGCGGCCCTGTCGTGGCTCCTTCGCAACCCCGTCGTGGCCCTGTCGCGGCCCCTTCACGGCCCCTTAGCGGCCCCTTCACGGCCCCGTCGCAGCCCCTTCACGGCCCAGTCACGGCCCCGTACCGGCCTTCACGGCCCCACCCCGTCGCAACCCCGTAGCGACCCCGTCGCGGCCCCGTCGCGACCCCGTCGCGACCCCGTCGCGGCCCCGTCGCGAACCAGTCGCGGCCCCGTCGCGAACCCGTCGCGGCCCCGTCGCGGCCCCTTCACGGCCCCGTCGCGGCCCCGTCGCGACCCCGTTGCGCGCGGCCCCGTCACGGCCTCGCCCCGGCCCTGCCCCGTCGCCCGGCCCTGCCCCGTCGCCCTGTCGCGCCCCCCCGTCGCGGCCCCCCGTCGCGGCCCCCCCCGTCGCGGCCCTCCGTCGCGGCCCCCCGTCGCGGCCCTGCCCCGTCGCCCGCCGCGGCCCTGTCGCGGCCCTGCCCCTGCCCTGTCGCGGCCCTGTCGAGGCGACCTGAGGGGGCCGCGACCTGGGGGGGGGGCCGCGCGTCGCCCCTTCTGCCGCCTGTTCTGGCGCCCTGGGAGGCCGCGCGTCGCCCCCCCCCCCCCCCCCCCCCCCCCCGTAACCTCCCTACCCGCCATCCCGCCCTGCCCTGCGTTAGGGTTTGGGGGTGGCGAGGGGGGGGGTGGCGGGTGTGTGGTCTCCCCTGCTCCTCCTCCTCCTCTGTCTCCCACTACTGCAGCTGCCGCTGAGGGGGGTGGGTGTGTGGGAGATGATGGAGTGGTGCTAGGGGGTGGAGTGTAAGCGAATCTAGAGGTGCAGCAGGGGGTGTGTGAAAAGGGGGGTGGGATAGTTTGGGGAGGTTGAAGGGGGGTGGCCGCCGTGAAGCCCGCAACTCCAGTCGCCCGTGAGACCGTTGCGCCAGTCGCCCGTGAGCCCGTTGCGCCAGTCGCCCGTGAGCCAGTTGCTCCAGTCGCCCGTGAGTCCGTTGCTCCTGCCGCTCAGAGTTAGCCGCGGAGCCAGTTACTCCAGTAGCCCGTGTGCCAGTTGCTCCAGTTGCCAGTGTGCCAGTTGCTCCAGTTGCTCGTGTGCCAGTTGCTCCAGTTGCGCCGTGTGCCAGCAGCTTCAGCTGCCGCCCACTACCTCCTCTCCTCTCATAGTCCCTCCTCCTCCACACTTGCCCTCTGTGATAGCTTCTAGCTTTGCTTACTATTATTGTGAACTATTGCTTGCTTACTTGTGCTCAGAATGTGTGGTGTCATTGTGATCCACCCTGAGCTTGTCTTTTGTTTTGCTTTGCTTCTTGTGCTGATTACACCCCACTTTGGCTATGGGGGTGTGTCAGAATGTCATATTTGTCTAGCCTGCAGTGGGGTACTCTATAGTGAGTACAGCCCAATCTAGGGTTTCCTATATGTACTCAACTGCTTGCTAGTGCAATCACCTTCTCTCATTCATCCCTGTTTAATTTCTTCACAGTGAGAAGCGAATGGCCGATGTGGTAAGTCAGCTTCGAGGCAAGTAAAGCACGTTCCACGAGCTCGTCGAAGTTCGCTTCCATCGGTTAAAAGCACTGAATCTTTGTCGAGTACTCCTGCTTTGATTGTGTTGTTTAACACTGTGTTGCTTGGATGTCCCATTCGTGCGTGCCAGATGTCTTCGCTAGCGCGATGTCCGGGTGAGCGACGATACAAGTCGGAGTTGGAGTAGAAGCTTGCGGTGAGGTTTGAACTTCGATGTACTTCTCGTGATGTTGGGTTAAGCTGCTGCGCAAGAGTCGGTGGAGTGCCGTCGATTGGAACTGGTGCAGTTGAAGGTCCAGCGATTGGCGTTGATGTTGCTGCTGCTGCTGCTGCCGTTGTCTTTACTGTTTCCGATGTTGTCTTTGTTGCTGCTGATGTTGTCTCTGTTGCTGCCGATGTTGTCTCTGCTGCTGCCGAGTGTTGAATTGTTGCTAATGCTCTTGTTCATTCTGCCTCAGGGATGGTGTGCGAGTACCAGAAGCCTTCTGGACTGAAGTCGGGGTCAAGATCCGGTGGATGTGTCCAAGAGGTGAAAGTGACAATCCCGTCGCTGTTAGCAGTGCCAAGATCTGGGACGAAGTCGAGGACGAAGACGTTGTTTTTTAGGACTGCCTTCCCGATGTAGAGACCGCCTTTCCTGTGGTATAACTTGAACTCTTGAGTTGTGCTATATGCTTCAAGGTGTATGCCCTTCGCCATCAGCTGACTGACACTGAGTAAGTTGTAACCGAGTCCTTCTGCTATTAGAACCTTTGACATCTGCAGTATGACATTTGTCTCTCGTGACTGAAGTTGTACTACGCCTTGTCGTCGTGTGCGCAGGTTCTGATTGTTGGCGACGGTGATGACGACCTCGCGTTGAAGTTGGTGTTCACGTTGAACAAAACGTCCTGAAGAGCACATGTGTTGTCCACAGCAGCTGTCCAAGAACCACGTATCTTTTCCGGACGGCTCGCTTTGAGCGATGGCTGCATATGTCGGATTTGGTTGAAGTGACTCGCGGCGAGGCTTGCTGTTATCGAGTTGCTCTTCCGGTGAGTAATGTGGTGGTGACTCTGTGATGCAGGAGTCGGTTAGCCGTGTCATGCAACTGATGATGTTTCTTGTTCCTTGCGCAGGTTGTCCCGTCGATGTTGTTGAGGTTTGTACTTGAGAGGTCGGATTCGCTTGCGTTGAGGCGACTTGACTGCTTGAAGGGCGAAGCGGACGGTTTGGGCAGTGTGTACGGGGGTGGCCTGATGTCTTGCAAAGGTGACAGAACGGAGGTACTGGTTTCGGTTGATGCCGATAGTTGTTGTTGTTGTTGTTGCGCCGTTGAGTGTGAAATGCGAATTCTGGCACTGATGCCTTCCGTTTGTGTCGTTCTTCTTGCAGGTCCATATCTTGCTGCTCAGCGTGGATCTCGGCGCAGAGTGCTGCTTCTGATATTTTTCCGTGGGCTCGGAGTATGGCGCGAGTGGATTGCCACTGAGGACCGAGGCCGCCGATGATGACTGTGACGAAGGCGTCTTCTGAAATCGACCCTCCGCATCGAAGGAGTTTGTCGCGCAATTCGCGACAACGGCTGATATACGCTATCCCTTTTTTGCCTGGTTTCATTTCGACTGTCGTCAGTTGCGCCATTAACCGACTTTGATTTACGCTGTCTGTTGCTTGATACATGTTCTTCAGGTGGTTGTACGCGAGCTCTGCAGAGTTGCCGTATCCTCGGTAAGACCGTATGTTCTGCTGCTGACTTGGAGTGATATTTCTCAGCAGTATTGTGTACGCCATCATTGACTGATACGTGTACTGCTGCTTGTCGTACTATGTGCCGTATGTTGGATATGGCAGGGACCCGTCGAAGAAGCCAAGGATCTGCGCGCCTTCCATCATTAGCTCGAACTCGAATGACCAGGTAAAGAAATCCTTTCCGTCGAAAGGCCTTGTCGTTTGTAGTTTTAAGACGTGCGCGAACTGCGACTGAACTTGAAGTGCGTCCAGTGTCTTTTCTTGTCCAGATGCGGGCTGCGGGTGTGGCGTAAAGCTGACGGAGCCACGCTGGGGCTCGTACGGAGCAAAGGTAGGCCGTTGCTGTTGATTTCCACGTGCGTAGGATGAACCGTCGAGGCTCATCGGTGTTGCGTTGTTGCTGTTGTTTGACTGTGCAAGTGCCCCTTGCTGGTGTTGTTCGTAGAAGGACATGAAGGAGAAGAACTTCTCCATCATGTCTGGATCGAAGGCTGCGGCTTGATTTGCGGGAGTTTCTGAAGACGTTGCTCTTGGCCTTGTTGCCGTACCCTCCTCTGTCTGTAGGCCAGAGGCAGGAGGTGGAGTAGGAGTAGTACCGGGAGAGCCGTTAGAGGAGCTTCTCTCCTTCTGCGTTGCCATGTTTTGTGATGTTGTAGGTGTCTTGATCGTAGTTGAATTTGTCCTGACTGCTCTCATACCATGTTGGGCTGAAAAAAAGCCCTTAGGATCTTTGCAGGACAGAATTCAAGGGTAGGACAATGTAATAGCGGAAGCGTTTAATAAAAGGATTGTGAACCACCTTGCGCTACTATGTGAGGGCAAAGTTGATTGATTGAAACAAAGAGATACAAGCTTTTATAAGGATACAAGGAATATGAAGAGATATGGTTAATAACCGTTTTACTGTTGCTGTTGCGGTTCGATACAGTGTCGACTCGGGCAACTGCTCAGTAGCGAGTCAGTTGTTTGTCCTTGCTGTCGCGCTGCATTTGTCAGGTCAAAGGTTGCTGACCTTTGACTTTCGCGTAACCTCCAGCAGTTGTTCAACTTCCGAGGGTTGACTCGCTGATGCTTCGATATGTTTCGCTTCGTTTCTGTCTTGGTGTTTCGACACGACAGAGGCGCTTAAATCAATTGTTTCCAACAAGGTTGAGAATGGACTGCCAAAATCAGGAATTTCAGGGTTTTTTTCCTGACATCTGAGGCCCCGTTTGACACATCTCATGAGTCGTACCCAGCGTTCTTCCATTACACACGCTGATTGAGAAATTGGTAGGACAGCCTTACTTTTGGATGTATTTTTAGACGAGACAAGAAACATTTTATTGGGGTAAACACAGCATGCATATGTCCAGAGTGCAAGAGTCAGCAGGCCGAGGACGCAAGGACCAGCAACAGTGCGACTACCAGCGGGGAGAAACGTTGACACTGAGGAAGCCGTGGCGCATCTTCCCGGCGGTGCAGCGCAGGGCGTCGAGCAGGAAGGACCAGGACGACCCGAGCGCCCCGATGAAGTAGTCCGCCTCGCCCGCCAGCAGCAGGTTCACCAACGCGTTGTCCGTGCTGCGCTGCACCCCCAGCGCTCTCTCGTACGCCGGCATGCTGTCGTTGCCCGCCATGCGCGGCACGTCCGTGGCGAACCACGTCCACCCGCCCATGCCGCTCAGCTGCTCCACCACCTGGTGTGCCGTGATGGTGGGGCAGGGGATTTCAGGAACAATGAACAAACAAATCTGTGTGCGCAATAATAACATATTCAAGTTTGGTTGGTGGACTGACTGTGTTGGTGTTTCAAGTGTGACTCACTGAAAGCTCCACACAAGCACCACTCCTCACACTACCAACTTGCATTTCGTGCCACTGCGACCCAAGTCACTTGCATTCAACCCCCGGGCACGCATCAACACTGCAGCACCGTGGTGACTCACGGGCTGCATCTCAGTGGCGAGCCACACGAAGCGAGTGTGGGGGTCGTGGCGGCGCACGCGCAGCAGCAGGCGCACGTACTCCCCAACGCCCGCCACTCGCATCTCGCGCCCCTTGTCGCCCATGCGCACATGCATGCTCACCAGCGCCCGCGGCACCCACGGCACCCGCATCCGCCACCACAGCTGCCGCTCCATGGGGCCTGGGGGGAGGCGATTGGGGGGAGGCGATTGAGGGAAGGGAGGAGGGAGAGGGCGGGTCACGTGTGCACTAGTGCAGGGAGGCACGGTGTACTGCAAGCACAGTGGGCGCCCATAGTGGCACTACATGGGATAAGGAAGGGTGTGCCGACCGAGGGCATACGGGAGAGGAGACTTTGGAGGGAGAGAAAGGAAAGAGGGTTGGCACATGAGAGCAGTATGGGATGAGGAAGCACTGAGCGGCACCTCAGAGCATCCCCAGTCGCACCCTAGAAGTCCGTGCGAGACAATGTGTGGGAGCAGCGGCAGTGCGTGGGGGCCATGGCTTAGCGGGACTTGGGAGGCACGAGGTGGCAGTGAGTGCAGCATCTCACCAGGTGCGATTTTCCACAGTGAGCTGCTATCAGATGGACCAGCGGTCAGTGCAGCAGAGGCACGCAACCCTGTGATTGGCATTTCCCCATCTCCTACAGCCGGATCTTCCTCTGCTACAGCAGCGTCAGCCTGTGTCACAGCCACGTCTGCCTGAGCTACAGACAGATCAACCTGTGATAGTACCACGTCCGCCTGAGTGGCAGCGAGCTCAGCCTGTGCGATAGCAGCAGCGGCGAGGCGGCCATAGGAGAGGTGGCGCTGGGCGTTGAGCAGACGGCACAGGCGTGGCGATGGCGCCCTCAGGAAGAAGCGCGCTGCCTGGGCGCGCCACCAGCGGTGCGTGTTGCTGCAGAGGTGCCGGAGGTGGGGGAAGGGTGGTCGGGGTGAGGGGAGAGCAGTGCATGGTGCAGCGAGTGGGATGCTGGGTTGAGCCAGAGCAGGGACTAGTCTGAGGTGGTGCATTCATGGCAGGCGATGGCATGCGAATGAACAGGTGTCCGCTGTGAAGACCCAGCGAGAGAGTAGGAGGACGGTGCGAAGGAAAGGCTTGGAGAGAGGGAGGGAGAGAGGGAGGGAGGGAGGGAGGGAGGGAGGGAGGGAGGGAGGGAGGGAGGGAGGGAGGGAGGGAGGGAGGGAGGGAGGGAGGGAGAGGGGGAGGGAGGGAAGGGATTGAGGCAGCAGACTTCATGCGGTTGGTGACGATGAGGCGCCCCTGCGCCTCCACCACGCCCGGGATGGCCAGCCATGGCTGCCCCCACCGCGACGGCACCACCGGGAAGAACAGCGGCCGCGTCCCCCTCTTGTGCCGCCGCTGCCTGCCCCCCGGCTCCTCTTCCCCCCCATCCTCCCCCTCTGCCCCCTCTTCCTCGCCTCTGCCCTGCTCATCCCCCTGTCCCTCCCCTGAGCCTCGCGCCTGTTGAAAGGGCGTGGGGGTGGCGAGGGAGGGGTGCTTGGTGGTGGCGAGCAGCGGGTGGGCGCCTTGGAAGGACGCGGCGCGCCGGGCCAATGAGTGTGCGCGGCTGGCGGGAGGGCAGGGGGAATGGATGGGTTGTGAACCGCAGTGCAATGAGAGCGGGCGGGCTTGCACACTTTTGATATTTCTTAAAGGTGTGTTTGAATGCCATACATCTAGCACCCTTCCTGCCACCTGACATGCCTTCGTGCCTGCCCTGCCTCAACTCTTCACTTGCAACACGCCTCACCACCTGCACTCGCCTCACCGCCTGCACTCGCCTCACCGCCTGCACTCGTCGGACGTCTCTGGGAGGAAGTAGCAGCGCCACTCGCCGCGCATGCCCTCGCGCTCACACCCCTCGTGCTCCGCGCGCTCAAAGCCCCCCAGCAGCCCCACGCCCCCGCGCCCCCTGCCCCTCGCCCCCGCATGAGCAATGACCAGCACCCTCCCGCTGCGCACGGCCAGCGCCAGCGCGCCCGCCAGCAGCGTCATCTGCGTGCCCAGCCCGTGCCGCACGCTCCCCCCTACTGGCGCCAGCAGGAATCTGCGGAGGATGCGAGGGCGACGGGGACAGGCGGGGACAAGCGGGGAAGCTGAGGGCGGGTGGCATGGTGAGGGAGAGGAGGTGGGTGCACGGCATGGCGCACGGGGCATGCTCAGCACGCAGCGCAGCGCCCCCGGGGGTGCGCCGGAGCCACTCGCCTTACAGCGGGGTGGGAGCAGTTGCGGGGGAACTGGTGGCGCCAGAGGTCGCGCTGCACAAGGCGAGTCAGCGGGTAGTTGTCCGTGTCCGCGCCCTCCACCCACGGCGGAAACGGCCCTTCCACCACCGCCACATCCCCGCGCGCCTCTCCTCTCCGCTCCGCCACATCCTCCTCTCTCCTCGCTGCCCATGCGCTGCTCCCGCCTATCTCACTCTCCCTCTTGCCCCCTTCCCCTTCCCCCCCTTTTTCCGCGTCCCCATTCCCCTCCCCCTCCCTCTCCCCGTCCCCCTCCTCCGCCTCCTTCCCCTCGCCCGCGCCCGCATTGCGTCGGAGGGCGGCCCAGGGCGGGTCGGAGCCATCGGCGGGGCGGCTGGCCCAATGCTCCACCGCGTGCACGCGCGCATTGGCCGCGCAGTCCGCCAAATGCGGCGCCGGAACCAGCGCTGCTGGCGGGGCTGCGATTCCGGGCGGAGGTGACGCGACGCGCTGTCTGGAGCCTTCTGTGTCGCTTGCGACTGGATCTGCGACAGTCGGCGACGACTCTGCGAGCTGAGCAGCCCATGAGGCTTGCAGTTCGTCAACTCGTCGCTGAAGTTGCTCGTGCGATGCTGGCGAATCGTGCGACGCTGGCGATCCCTTCTGCTCCCCCAGCGACTCCAATCGATATTGCTCCTCGACCGAGTGGATCGCAATGTGCTCCACGGCGACGGGCTGTCGCACGACAACGAGGAGAAACGTGATGACGGGGAGGCACAGCAGCGCGGCGTGGAGCGGCGAGCGGAGGAAGGAGACGAGGGGCTTGGGAGCAGCGAGAGACAGGAGGGATGCGAGCGACAGGGCAGTCGGCGCGGGAGGCGGGTGGGTCGCCGCAATGGTGGACGCCACGCGGTCACTTCCAGCTCCGTCCCGATCGGCGGCTCCCCGGCTCTGCGTTTCCGACGCCGGCATTTCACACACGTACTACCACTATGAAAACTTAGTATGATCACTCACGTACTGATCGAAGGTGTTTTTGGTGACTTGCACTCGGGTTGGTATGCACCATCTGTCAGAAACTAGGGAGAAGTGAAAGAAGAACAGGGTCTCAACAAAGTGTTAACTCTCTGAAGAGTACCTCAATCTAAGTGCCTAGCCTACCAAATATATCATCATATATAGTTTGACACACCCCCTAGGCTAGGAAAGAGGCGGTCTCTGAAAAACAACAAGAAGCAAACTCAGAGGGGCACTACTGTTGGAAACAACTGATTTAAACGCCTCTGTCGTGTCGAAACACCAAGACAAGAGCGAAGCAGATCGTATCGAAACATCGGTGAGTCAACCCTCGGAGGTTGAACAACTGCTGGAGGTTACGCGAAAGTCAAAGGTCAGCGACCTTTGACCTGACGAAATGTACAGTGCGACAACAAGGACATATAACTGACTCGTTACAGAGCAGTTACCCGAGTCGGCACTGTATCGAACCGCAACAGCAAAACAGTTAAGATAGAACCTTTCATATTCCTTGTAATCATATAAAAGCTTGTATCCTTTTGTTATTATCAACTTACTTTGTTCTCACAAACCAGTACAAGGTGGTTCAACAAGTCTTTATTAAAACGCTTCCGCTACTACATCATCCTACTCTTGAATTCAGTCCTGCAAAGATCCCAAGGGCCTTCTCAGCCTGACATGGTATCAGAGCGAAGGTCTCGGGTTCGAATCCCAGTGTGTGTGCACTTCGGGCATCCCAGTGCGGGGGGGTGTCAGAGGTCCACTGGTGATCCCCGATTGATCCTAGGGAAGGGTTACAGGCTCGTTGGCCTGGGGGGTTATGGGCGCACTGACCCGCTACTTAACAAGCCCTTTTATCCCAGTGGTCTAGTGACTGGGATTCTGACATGGTATGAGAGCAGTCAGGACAAATTCGACTACGATCAAGATATCTACGACATCACAAGACATGGCAACGCAGAAGGAGAGAAGCTCCTCTAACGGCTCTCCTGGCACTACTCCTACTCCACCTCCTGCCTCTGGCCTACAGACAGAGGAGGGTACGGCAACAAGACCAAGGGCATCGTCTTCGGAAACTCCCGCAAATCAAGCTGCGGCCTTCGATCCAGACATGATGGAGAGGTTCTTCTCCTTCATGTCCTTCTACGAACAGCACCAGCAAGGGGCACCTGCACAGTCAAACAACAGCAACAACAACAACGCAACACCAATGAGCCTAGATGGTTCATCGTACGCACGTGGAAATCAACAGCAACGGCCTACCTTTGCTCCGTACGAGCCCCAGCGTGGCTCCGTCAGCTTTATGCCACACCCGCAGCCTGCATCCGGACAAGAAAAAACACTGGATGCACTTCAAGTTCAGTCGCAGTTCGCGCACGTCTTAAAACTGCAAACGACAAAGCCTTTCGACGGAAAGGACTTCTTTACCTGGTCATTCGAGTTCGAGCTTATGATGGAAGGCGCACAGATCCTTGGCTTCTTCGATGGGTCCCTGCCATATCCAACACACGGCACACAGTACGATAAGCAGCAGTACACGTATCAGTCAATGATGGCGTACACAATACTGCTGAGAAATATCACTCCAAGTCAGCAGCTGAACATACGGTCTTACCGGGGTTACGGCAACTCTGCAGAGCTCGCGTACAACCACCTGAAGAACCTGTATCAAGCAACAGACAGCGTAAATCAAAGTCGGTTAATGGCGCAACTAACGACAGTCGAAATGAAACCAGGCGAAAAAGGGATGGCATATATCAGCCGTTGTCGCGAATTGCGCGACAAACTCCTTCGATGCGGAGGGTCGATTTCAGAAGACGCCTTCGTCACAGTCATTATCGGCGGCCTCAGTCCTCAGTGGCGCTCCACCCGCGCCATACTCCGAGCGCACGGAAAGATATCAGAAGCAGCACTCTGCGCCGAAATCCATGCTGAGCAGCAAGATATGGACCTGCAAGAGGAACGACACAAGAAGAAGGCATCAGTGCCCGAATTTGCATTCCACACTCAACGACGCTACAACAACAACAATCGGCATCAACCGAAATCAGTACCTCCGTTCTGTCACCTTTGCAAGATGTCAGGGCATCCTCGCTCACACTGCCCTAACCGACAACAGTCAGTACCAACGCAGCGGCAGCTTCGGCCTTCAAGCAGTCAAGTTGCCTCAATGCAAGCAAGTTAGACTTCTCAAGTACAAACCTCAACGACATCGACGGGACAACCTGCGCAAGGAACAAGAAACATCGTCAGTTGCATGACACGACTGACCGACTCCTGCATCACAGAATCACCACCATATTACTCACCGGAAGAGCAACCCGACAACAGCACGCCTCGCCGCGAGTCACTTCAACCAAATCCGACGTATGCAGCTATCGCTCAAAGCGAGCCGTCCGGAAAAGATACGTGGTTCTTGGACAGCTGCTGTGGACAGCACATGTGTTCTTCAGGACGTTTTGTTCAACGTGAACACCAACTTCAACGCGAGGTTGTCATCACCGTCGCCAACAATCAGAACCTGCGCACACGACGACAAGGCATAGTGCAACTTCAGTCACGAGAGACAAACGTTATACTGCAAATGTCAAAGGTTTTAATAGCAGAGGGACTTGGCAACAACTTACTAAGCGTCAGCCAACTAATGGCGAAGGGGATCCATCTTGAAGCAGACAGCACCACACAGGAGTTCAAGCTCTTCCACGGTCGAGGAGGACTCTACATCGGCAAAGCAGTACTGAAGAATAATGTCTTTGTCCTCGACTTCGTCCCAGATCTCGGCACTGCTGACAGCGACGTGATCGTCACCTTCACCTCTTGGACACATCCACCGGATCTTGACCCCGACTTCAGTCTAGAAGGCTTCTGGTACTCGCACACCATCCCTGAAGCAGAACGAACAAGAGCATTAGCAACGATTCAACACTCGGCAGCAGCAGAAACAACATCGGCAGCAGCAGAAACATCGGCAACACCAACAACACTTACAACACCAGTCGCGAGTTCTTCAACGACATCGCCACACATCGACAATACTTCACCGACTCCTGCGCAGCAGCTAACTCCCACTCCTCGCGAAGTTCACAGAAGCGCCAACTTCACCGCCGCCTTTTACTCCAACTCCGACCTGTATCGTCGTTCACCCGGACATCGCGCTAGCGAAGACATCTGGCACGCACGAATGGGACATCCAAGTAATACGGTGTTAAACAACAGAATCAGAGCAGGAGTTCTCGACAAAGATTCACTACTTCTAACCGACGGAAGTGAACTTCGACGAGCGCGAGGAACGTGTTTTACCTGCCCCGAAGCTGACTTACCGCATCGACCTTTCACTTCTCACCACAACCCCAGCGCACCAGCTTACGCACCACTTGAAAACGTGTACAGCGACATCCTGTACAATCGCGACCCCGGACAAGGAGCATACAGTTATACCATCACGTTCATCGATGCAGCTACACGTTACGTTTGGCACCTCAATCTTCCGAGCAAGGACATGGCCTTCGAAGCCTTCATCGCTTGGCTCCCAGTAGCAGAACGAGAATCAGGCGAGAAACTGAAAAGCTTTCAGTCAGACGGAGGAGGAGAATACACCTCACAGAGGTTCAAGCAGTTCTTGGCAGAAAGGGGAATCAAGAGGCTCATCTCGCTTCCTTACGCCCATCAACAGCAAGGCGTGGCGGAACGGATGAATCGAACTCTCCAGAACACCATGCGCAAATTATTGCGTGGCATGCGACTGCCCAATCACCAGTGGCCTGAAGCGATGGACCACGCTGTCATGCTGCACAACTTGCTTTCGTCGTCGTCACTACCGAACAACGCATCACCGCACCTGCTGTGGACAGGAAAACAGGGCAGCACAAAAATGTTAAGAGTTTTCGGCTGCATGGTACAGTACCGACCCCCATCTGCACGAGCCGGCCGATTTTCTCAACGCGCACAGTGGGGACTACACCTGGGCATCGAAAGAAATTACAACGCGTGGAAGATTTTCGACGTCCACTCCAAAGAAACAGTAGCAGCACGTGACGTCATTTTCTACGAACGACTCACCCTTCCGACATATCTTGCCAACTTGGAAGAAAATCGGGATCCCATAGGTGGCTTCCATGGTGACCGACACTTCGCCTCGGCAGCAGACGAAGCTGACTGGGACGAGCAGAACGTGGATAACGCCTCGGAAGAAGCAGGACCACTCCCATACTGCTCCGTGCCTATCCCGATGGACGACGAAAATCCTCGCGAGAGTGTCAACGCCGAAACTTACTTCGAATTCGCCGACACCGGTTACGTTACACATGCAGAAGTCAACACCAACGAAGCAGAACGCTTAGGGCCCAGTTTCATACCTGACCTAGAAGCAGGAGACGAAGCAGCTTATCCCGCGGACACAACACTCCCCCGCTACACATAGAGTGGCCTTCAGATACTTGGTCTCGTCACCGCGGTCCACGGCACGGATACTCCTAAGGAGCCTGCCACAGTTCAGTAGGCTCTGGGAGGGGAGCATAAGGAAAAATGGTGTGAAGCCATGGACAAGGAACTGAAAGCACTACAGGAGCGCAACACCTGGAAAGTTGTTCCTATCGGCGTGGCACGAAACAAGACAATACTCACCGGGAAGTGGGTCTTCCATGTGAAGACAAAAGCAGACGGCACCATTGACAAGTTCAAGGCACGATGGGTCGTACGCGGCTTTGACCAAGAGCACGGACGCGATTTCACCGAGACATTCGCACCGGTTAGTCGACACACCTCACTACGAATTCTTCTCGCGATCGCCGCTATGAAGAAAAAGAAGCTGCGGCAAATCGACGTTGCCAATGCTTTTCTCTACGCACCTGTCGACGCAGAAATCTTCGTCGAACTTCCACACGGTTCCCATGAAGAACCTAACCAAGTCTGCCAGCTACTGAAGTCCTTGTACGGGATCAAACAGGCACCGAGACTGTGGCAGCAGTACTTACACGCTCGACTCACTCGCATCGGATTCCGGCAGCTACCGCACAACCAAGGAATGTACCGGCTCACGAAAGGCGACGACTACATTCTACTAATCGTCTACGTAGACGATCTGCTTTACATCGGGTCAACCGACAATGTCACTATCTGGTTCGAAGGGGAGTTACAGAGAGATCTCACGCTCACGGTTTCATCTACCGTCATGCAGTACCTCGGCCTCAACATCCAAGAAGAAGAAGGCGCGATCTATCTTAACGCCGCAAAATATGCCGACACCATCGCCAAACGGTTCGCACTCATGCCAACTACCATCTCTACGCCATATCGCTACACGGCAGGAAATGACAAGGCAGAATCTGCTCCACTGAAACCCGCCGGCATACGCAACTACCAGAGAAAGATGGGATGCCTTCTCTTCGCGACCGTCACCTGCCGTCCAGGCCTATCATACTCAGCAAGTCAACTCGCCACCTACCTCAAAAGGCCTGAAGACGAACACATGAAGGAACTCAATCGCGCCCTTCACTACCTCGTTAGTACTCCGACGATCGGGCTAATCTACTTCAAAAGCAAAACTACAACGCCCAAGCTTATCGGGTACGTCGACGCCGACCACGCCGGAGATCCTGACAACAAGCGCTCGCGCACAGGCTACATCTACCGTCTCGAGCCTATCGGACCTATTTCGTGGCAGTCGAGCAAACAGGAATTAATCGCCCTCTCCTCAGCTGAAGCTGAATATATCGCACTCTGCTCAGCCACCAAGGAAGGACTGTACCTTCGCGAACTTCTGGAGGAAGTGAAGCTGGCCCAGTTACCCAGCTTCTCCCTATTCTGCGACAACCAGTCGGCAATTCGCATAGCCAACAAAGACTTGAGCATATCGCCCTGCGATATTTCTTCATAAAAGACGAGATCGAGAAGGGAAGACTTGAGCTGTCTTACTGCCCTTCATCCGAGATGGCAGCTGATTACTTGACCAAGAAGCTCGGAAAGTCGAAGTTCGAATACTGCATACTGCTGACTGGACAGAGCCACGTCACCTGCAGCGACACTCCAGAAGCGAAGGGGAGTGTTGGAAACAACTGATTTAAACGCCTCTGTCGTGTCGAAACACCAAGACAAGAGCGAAGCAGATCGTATCGAAACATCGGTGAGTCAACCCTCGGAGGTTGAACAACTGCTGGAGGTTACGCGAAAGTCAAAGGTCAGCGACCTTTGACCTGACGAAATGTACAGTGCGACAACAAGGACATATAACTGACTCGTTACAGAGCAGTTACCCGAGTCGGCACTGTATCGAACCGCAACAGCAAAACAGTTAAGATAGAACCTTTCATATTCCTTGTAATCATATAAAAGCTTGTATCCTTTTCTTATTATCAACTTACTTTGTTCTCACAAACCAGTACAAGGTGGTTCAACAAGTCTTTATTAAAACGCTTCCGCTACTACATCATCCTACTCTTGAATTCAGTCCTGCAAAGATCCCAAGGGCCTTCTCAGCCCAACAACTACTACTCCACACCTCTGAGGCAAAAAGGCCACAAGGCCAGTCAACGAATTAACAAAATATAAAGCAAAGTCACATACAAAACTAGCAACAAATATTGTGAGACTAGCAAGTGATGACCTCCATTAACTAGGCAGCTGTGTAGTCTCGCTGATGATCTGAAGTCAGGGCCCATGTTATCAGGGTAAAATATCACAGTGTAATCTTACTTGTAGGCTATAGTGGGGCACTCCTTATGGGGTACAGCACTTCTAGGGTTAGTACTTGTACCCCAACTCTTGCTAATCCAATCATTCCTGCACAGTTATTCTGACATGGTATTTAGAGCAGGAAACCTGTTAAGTTTTTAGGGCCCACCGATAGTTCCGCTCGTTCCTGCCCGAAGCGCCTTTGCGCTGTCCGGCCCTGCTCGCACAGTGTCGCGCTGCCCTGCAGCTACTCGCACTGCCTGCCCCCCCGCACGTCGCGCCCTGCTGCAGCCCGCGCGTCGCGCTTTGCTGCTCCGCGCCTCACGCCCTCCTGCAGCCCGCACGTCGCGCCCTGCTGCCCTGCGCGTCGCGCCCTGCTGCAGCCAGCACGTCGCGCCCTACTGCAGCCAGCGCGTCGCGCTCTGCTGCCCCACGCGTCACGCCCTGCTGCCCTGCACAGCGCGTGCCCTGCTGCCCTGTCCACCGTGCGCCCTGCCCTGCAGCCTGCAGAGCGCCCTGCCCAGCCCGAGCCGCCCTGCCCAACCCGAGCCGCGCCGCCCTACCTTGATCACCAGCACCTCTCGTGCTACTGCTGCTGGTGGTGGAGGTGCTGCTGGGAGTGCTACTGCGGAGTGCTGCTGGTGCTGGGGGTGCGGGAGCCGCGCCGCCCTACCTTGATCACCAGCGCCGCCCTGCTCGTGGTACTGCTGCTGCTGGTGGAGGTGCTGCTGGGAGTGCTGGGAGTGCTGCTGGTGCTGGGGGTGCTGGAGGTGCGACTGGGCGTGCTGGAGGTGCTGCTGGTGCCGGAGGTGCTGGACCTACTACTGACCGTCACTGCCTGTCATGGCCACTATCACGGCAGTTGCAGCAGCTAGGGGTGGACGGCGGCGGTCACTGCCTCTCCCGGGCGACCCCACTCCTCAGCAGCTTCGCGAGTGGGTTCTTCAGCGAGCCCGTCCAGGTGGTGGAGGCTTTGGTTTTCTACGTACTGCACAGCGGCGGCAGCAGAGTCAGCAGGAGACCTTCTCCCCGCAGGTGCTTAGTGAGTTGTTTCCTCAGCGATGTGTCACTGGTTCTGTCGAGGCTGCTGCACTAGGTGCTAGTGAGTATGCTGCTGTACTAGGTACTAGTGAGTCTGCTGCCGCACTAGGTGTCAGAATGTAATTGCTGTTTAGCCTGCAGTGGGGTACTCTTTAGTGAGTACAACCCAATTTAGGGTTTGCTATTTGTATCCCAACTTCCTATAGTGAAACTCATCTCTCTTTCTCGATTCTCCCTTGCACAATCCTCTCGACACTCTAACCTAGCTATGGCTCCTAAGCCTAAGTCACGCTAGTATTCTCACATGGTATTAAGAGCAACAATTTTCTAGGACCTAATCTTAATGGGCCCACCACCTACTGCCCTGCTAGCCTAGGCCCCGGCCCGTCGCCCCTTGGCGTCGCCCCTAGCCCCTAGGCTCGGCCCCTTGGCCCCGTCGCCTCGGCCCCTTGGCCCCGTCGCCTCGGCCCCTTGGCCCCGTCGCCCCTTGGCGTCGCCCCTAGCTGTGCCCCTCGGCCCCGCTGGCCCCGTCGACTACGTCGCCCCGCGCCCGGCCCGTACTTAGCCCGCGATCGGCCCGTACCTAGCCCGCGCTCGGCCCCGTTCCTAGCCCCGCGCCCGGCCTGTACCTCGCCCGCGCCTGGCCCCGTACCTAGCCCGCGATCGGCCCGTACCTAGCCTCGCGCCCGGCCTCCGTTCCGCGCCCAGCGCCCGGCCCCGTACCTGCCCAGCGCCCGGCCACGTACCTGCCCAGCGCCCGGCCCCGTCGCTTGCCCAGCGCCCGGCCCCGTACCTGCCTCGCGCCCGGCCTCCGTTCCGCGCCCAACGACCGGCCCCATACCTAGCCCGCGCCCGGCCCAGTACCTAGCCCGGGCCCGGCCCCGTACCTAGCCCGCGCCCGGCCCAGTACCTAGCCCGCGCCCGGCCCCGTACCTAGCCCGCGCCCGGCCCAGTACCTAGCCCGCGCCCGGCCCCGTACCTAGCCCCGCGCCCGGCCCCATTCCGCGCCCAACGCCCGGCCCCGTACCTAGCCGCGCCCCTCGGCCCCACTGGCCTCGTCGCCCCTAGCTATGGCAAGAGGGGTGATGACTTCCTGCCCGCGTGCCCTGCAGTCGCACACGCACCTCCGCCCCCGCCCCCCTCCCCCCCCTCCCCCTCCTCCATGGGGACGGGGGGGAGAGGGTGTGAGGGGGTGGCAGATGTGCCTCAGCAGCAGCAGCTGCCGCCGTGCCTCCTCCTCTATCTCTCCCTGCCGCACCTTGTGTTGGGAGAGGGGGGGGAGCTTGGAGGTTCAGAAAGAGGCAGGGGGGAATCTGCAGCACCAGCCCCCCCCGCCCCCCCCCTTTCTCCTCCACCCCTGCTGCGGGTGCAGCAGTGGGGGGGAGGGGATCTGCAGCAGCAGCCCCCCCCGCCCCCCCCCCCCCCTTTCTCCTCCACCCCTGCTGCGGGTGCAGCAGTGGGGGGGAGGGGATCTGCAGCAAGTGGGGGGAGGGGATTTGCAGCATCAGCCACCCCCCCCCCCCCCCCCCCCCCCCGCCCTTTTCTCCTCTCTCTCTCCCTGCCGCACCCTGTGTTGGGAGGGGGGGGGAGCTTGGAGGTTCAGAGGGAGGCAGGAGGGGATCTGCAGCACCAGCCCCCCCCCCCGCCCCCCCCTTTCTCCTCCACCCCTGTTGCGGGTGCAGCAGTGGGGGGGAGGGGATCTGCAGCAGCAGTGGGGGGAGGGGATTTGCAGCATCAGCCCCCCCCGCCCCCCCCGCCCCTTTCTCCTCTCTCTCTCTCCCTGCCGGACCCTGTGTTGGGAGGGGGGGGAGCTTGGAGGTTCAGGGGAAGGCAGGAGGGGATCTGCAGCAGCAGCCCCCCCCGCCCCCCCCCCCCCCTTTCTCCTCCACCCCTGCTGCGGGTGCAGCAGTGGGGGGGAGGGGATCTGCAGCAGCAGTGGGGGGAGGGGATTTGCAGCATCAGCCCCCCCCCCCCCACTTCTCCTCCATCCCCCTGCTGTGGGTGCAGCGGTGGGGGGGAGGGGATCTGCAGCCCTGTGCTGCCCTGCAGCCCTGCGCGCCCTGCGCGCACTGCAGCCCTGCGCGCCCTACTGCCCTGCAGCCCTGTGCGCCCTGCTGCCCTGTTTGCCCCTCGCGCCCTGCTGTCCTGCTGCCCTGCGCGCCATGCGCGCCCTGCAGCCCTGCGCGCCCCGCGCGCCCTGCTGCCCTGCAGCCCTGTGCGCCCTGCTGCCCTGCAGCCCTGTGCGCCCTGCTGCCCTGCTGCTGCCGCTACAGCCCTTGCTGTTGCCGCTACATCCCTTGCTGCTGCCCTGCGCGCCCCGCGCGCCCTGCAGCCCTGCTGCGCCCCGCGCGCCCTGCTGCCCTGCAGCCCTGTGCGCCCTGCTGCCCTGCTGCTGCCGCTACAGCCCTTGCTGTTGCCGCTACAGCCCTTGCTGCTGCCCTGCGCGCCCTGCGCGCCCTGCAGCCCTGCTGCGCCCCGCGCGCCCTGCTGCCCTGCTGCCCTGTGCGCCCCGCGCGCCCTGCAGCCCTGCGCGCCCTGCTGTCCTGCTGCCCTGCGCGCCCTGCGCGCACTGCAGCCCTGCGCGCCCCGCGCGCCCTGCTGCCCTGCAGCCCTGTGCGCCCTGCTGCCCTGCAGCCCTGTGCGCCCTGCTGCCCTGTTTGCCCCGCGCGCCCTGCTGCCCTGCAGCCCTGTGCGCCCGGCTGCCCTGCTGCCCTGTGCGCCCCGCGCGCCCTGCAGCCCTGTGCGCCCCGCGCGCCCTGCAGCCCTGCGCGCCCCGCGCGCCCTGCTGCCCTGTGCGCCCTGCTGCCCTGCAGCCCTGTGCGCCCTGCTGCCCTGCTGCTGCCGCTACAGCCCTTGCTGTTGCCGCTACAGCCCTTGCTGCTGCCCTGCGTGCCCCGCGCGCCCTGCAGCCCTGCTGCGCCCCGTGCGCCCTGCAGCCCTGCGCGCCCTGCTGTCCTGCTGCCCTGCGCACCCTGCGCGCACTGCAGCCCTGCGCGCCCCGCGCGCCCTGCTGCCCTGCAGCCCTGTGCGCCCTGCTGCCCTGCAGCCCTGTGCGCCCTGCTGCCCTGTTTGCCCCGCGCGCCCTGCTGCCCTGCAGCCCTGTGCGCCCTGCTGCCCTGTGTGCCCCGCGCGCCCTGCAGCCCTGTGCGCCCCGCGCGCCCTGCTGTCCTGCTGCCCTGTGCGCCCTGCTGCCCTGCTGCCCTACTGCCCTGTGCGCCCCGTGTGCCCTGCTGCCCTCTGCACGCGCCATGCACAGCCCCCCCCCCCCCCCGCCCCCCCCTTTCTCCCCCCTCTCTCTGCTGCGGGTGCAGCAGTGGGGGGGAGGGTATGGGGGTGGCGGGTGTGGCGCGTCCTGCTGTCGCAGTGGGGGGGAGGGGATCTGCAGCACCAGCCCCCCCTCCTCCCCCCGCCCCACCCCCCCCCCACCCCCCCCCCCCCCCCCCTGCTCCTCCATCCCCTGCTGCAGGTGCAGCAGTGGGGGGAGGGTGTGGGGGTGGTGGGTGTGGGTGCAACTGCAGGGTGGCGGGTATGGGGGTGGCGGGTGTGTGAACCGTCCCCTGCTCCTCCTCCTCCTCCATCTCCCACTGCTGCAGCTGCCGCTGAGGGGGGAGGGTGTGTGGGAGCCGAGGGAGTGGTGCTAGGGGGGTGACGTGGGAGTGGAGCTAGGGGTGCAGCAAGGGGTGTGTGTAAGGGGGGTGGGACAGTTGGGGGAGGTTGAGCGGAGGCTGCCGTCTTGTCGTCCGCAGCACCTGTAGTCCGGGGCTCTACTTCTGGTAGCTCAGAGAGCCTGCTGCGCCTGTCGCCTGTGGGTCCGTTGCTCCTGCCGCTCAGAGTTAGCCGCAGAGCCAGTTACTCCTCTAGTCCGGGGATACGGCCCTGGTAGCCACAGTGCGTGCCGCTCCTGTTGCCCGTGTGTCTGCAGCATCAGCCGTCGCCTCCTATCTCCTCTCCTCTCACAGTCCAGCCTCCTCCTCCTCACTTGCCCTTTGTGAATGCCTCTAGCTTTGCTTGTACTTGTGAACCTGCTCTGCTGATTATACCCCACTTTGACTATGGGGGTGTGTCAGAATGTATTTGCTGTTTAGCCTGCAGTGGGGTACTCTGTAGTGAGTACAACCCAATTTAGGGTTTGCTATTTGTATCCCAACTTCCTATAGTGAAACTCATCTCTCTTTCTCGATTCTCCCTTGCACAATCCTCTCGACACTCTAACCTAGCTATGGCTCCTAAGCCTAAGTCACGCTATTATTCTCACACTAGGTGCTAGTGAGTCTGCTGCAGCTTTAGGTGCTCGTGCGTCTCCCGCCACAGGTCCTTCCTCAGCTGAGGCCTTGTACACTTTCACACTTGACTCAGGCGCGTCACGTTGCTTCTTTCGTGACTGCACCACACTCACACCACTTGCTGCACTGGTACCGGTCTCACTGGCTGACCCCATTGGGGGCCCAGTAGTCGTACGAGCCTCCACTGTCCTCCCGTGTCCAGCAGTCCCCTCCGGTCTCTGTCAGGTCTCCACCTCCCCACGTACTTGACGAACTTGGTGAGCAACGCTGCCGTTCAGGATGTCTGGGTTGATACCTTTATTCCTAGAGGGCAGCGTGTGGCGATCTGTACGTGCTCCCGGACTGGCCGTCACCTTGCTATGTTCACTCGACGGCTTGGGTCTAGTCTGTACACACTGACCACTGCGCCTGCACAGGTGGCTGAGGCAGGTCAGGTGGTTGCGTCGAGTCAGGTGTCTGCGTCTGGTCAGCTTGCAGCGTCTTGCTCGTGTCGGGTACTCTCCCACCAGACTCTCCTCTGGCACCACCGCCTCGGTCACCCCTCCCTACTGCGTCTTCGCAGTATGCACTCCCGTCAACTTGTCTCTGGCCTTCCCAGGTCCTTGCCCTCCCTCCCGCGCTCGCCTGCCCTGCCGCGCCTTCCCTGCGTCGAGGGGCGGCAGCGCGCCGCTCCTCACTCCTCCGAGTTTCCTTCGACCACTACTCCTCTGCAGATTCTCCACATGGACGTTTGGGGCCCAGCCCCCGTCGGTGGAACGGACCAGGAGCGCTACTTCCTGTTGGTTGTTGACGACTACACACGTTACACCATTGTCTTCCCCTTGCGACGCAAGGTGGACGTTAGGGTGTTTTGATCCCCTGGATCCGTGCTACTCATCGCCAGTTGCGCAAGCGGTTGAGCCAGGACTTCCCAGTCCTGCGTCTGCACTCCGACAAGGGCGATGAGTTCTCTTCTGACCTCCGTGCGAAGTTCTGTCGATACGAGGGCATCGTCCAGTCGTTCACGCTTCTGGCCTCTCCTCAGCAAAATGGGATTGCTGAGCGTCGCATTGGCTTGATCATGGAGGTTGCTCGTACCTCCATGATCCATGTGGCTGCTCCCCATTTTCTGTGGCCGTTTGCGGTCCGATACGCTGCGCATCAGCTCAACCTTTGGCCCCGCATCTTTGAGCTAGAGACCTCGCCCACACTCCGGTGGACGGGGAAGGCTGGCGATGCGTCGGTGTTTCAGGTCTGGGGCACGCTCTCCCTTGTTTGCAATGCCAAAGCGAGCAAGCTCTCCTCTCGCACTCTCCGCTGCGTCTTCCTTGGCTTCCCCACCGACGCCTCGCCGTGGCAGTTCCACCACCCGCGCTCGCGTCAAGTCTTCTCCTCCTAGGACGTCACCTTTGACGAGTCTGTCCGTTTCTACAGGCTACACCCGCATGCGTCCCACCCGGTCCCCCTAGCGCCTCTTTTCTTGGTACCAGTCCCCCCCTCTGGTAGACCCCCTCCCTGTCAGAATGTATTTGCTGTCTAGCCTGCAATGGGGTACTCTGTAGTGAGTACAACCCAATTTAGGGTTTGCTATTTGTATCCCAACTTTCTATAGTGAAACCATCATTCTCCTTCTCGACTTTCCTCACCCAAAATTCTCTCGACACTCTAACCTAGCTATGGCTCCTAAGCTTAGCTAGTCACCATTCTAACACCCCCCCCACAGGGTCCTGCTCCCTCAGCTGTGTCTCAGGTAGACCCACCCCCCTTGGTTGAGCCTTTGGAGATCTCTTTTGACTCCTCTGGCCCAGCTGAGGGGGGTGACCCCGCCGCTGACGACACGGCGGCCACTCGCCGCTCTCCACGCTTGGTGACCCCCCCTGGTTTTCCGCCTCGGCCGTCTTCGCCGCCTCCGCAGCCTGTTGCTGTGGACTCTGGAGCTGAGACTGCTGGTGCTGAGCCTATGGGTGCTGAGACAGAGGTTGAGAGTTCTGGGGGTGCTGCGACTGGGGGTGCTGGTTTTGGGGGTGCTGCAAAAGGGGGTGCTGGTTCTTGGGGTACTGCGATTGGGGGTGCTGACTCTGGGGGTCCTGCGAGTCCTAGTGGCGGTGGAGCTGTGGGTGACCCTGCTGGAGGTCCTGGAGCTGGACAGCCACCGCAGCCTGTCCTACTTGAGACGCTCTCGCTGCAGGCGATTCGTGCGTGGATCGTGCGGCGAGGCAGTCCAGGTGGTGGAGGGTATGGTCCTGTTGGTGCTGGACGCCTCTGTTCAAAACGCCGTCACGATCAGCTCCGATAACATGCGAGGCTGAAACTTGGAGAAACGTTAGCTTGAGGTGTTTGCTTTCTAACGGTTTATTGCTTGCTTTCATCAGAGGTGTAAGCGTTACGCAGTGAACGAAAACGTAAGCTCGGCTTAAAAAACGTGTAGTTTCATTGATGCAAGGAAGAGGTGAGTACACCATTGCCTAGGGAATTCTTAAGGGGTTGGGACCATCCTGGGAACTCAGAGAAGGTTGAGTCATAGGGGAGAAAGGCTAGAGAAGGATGGGAAACGTCCTAGCTAGGTCAGCAAAGCCAACCACACTTGGATGTTCAGAGCTGTACTCAAGGCTACCAATAGTTAGTCAAGCCAACCATGAGTCAGCTTGTCTTCCCACTTGCACCCTCTTGCAAGCTGCTTCCAGGGAGACCACACTTCTCAAAAAGAGGGTGGTAGAGTCCCACTTGACCACCAGTACTTCTTGTCTCATTCTCTGTCCCTGCACCATTGGCATGACAACAATGAAAGGGTGGCAAGGGAAATGCTGCCAACGGTGCACCATGACTACGGAACAGTAAATTTCGACAGCTGTCACGTGCTGCTCCAATGCTGGGTTGTTCTGAAACTCGGTGACCAGCTGAACAGCACGGCAAAGGACGGCCACACCGATTTTCAGACCAATCAGAGCTTGGTAGATGAGTCAGCAGCCGAAATGGTGAACTCGGGTGTTACCAAAAAAGAGTAATACACACTTCCGGGATGCCATAAGTATTGAAACTAAAAATGTTGCCATGCCTTGTAAACTGCTTCAAAAATTCTGAAACTTTGAGGGTCTGAAGATCACATGTTGAAGCGCCAACGAAATTTCGGCAGAGTTTCCCCTTAGCGGAAGTCACATGCAACCTCCATAACTCCACTTAGGCACGCCCACAAGCCATGGTGGGTCTAGGAGGGTCTTCACACTTCAGTAGACTCTCCACAAAGTCCTTAATCAGCTCTGATACCACTTGTTGGAGACTAAGGACAGAGTCTATGAAGATTAAGGGCCGAAATATCTCCAAATCGTCAACTATAATTCTGGACAGAAACGTCCTCGTCACAAGAAACGTAGTCGACAAAAAAAGCTCAGTCAGAATTCCCTCAAACTTGAGTATGTTGTAGCCCTTGACCGTGGCTATCTTTCCCAATTCGAATAGTATCAAAATATGGATTATAGCTTGAGTTATGAATTTCGGCGCACTAGGGGGTATGCTGCCATAGAAACTTAACTCAATCACAAAGTTGTCTCACAATTTCACACAAGAAAGTTGGAGTAGCAATTGAACCAGGTAGGAGGGGATGAGGAGGACGACAGAGAAGGTCCCAAGGGAGTCCCCAACCAAGGAAACCCCATACCACACAATTCCCCTCTCTATAGGCACCCCAATTTTGACATTTGTCACTTTCCCAACTCATGCCATCCACCTCACCCAACTTGGCCACACTTGTCAACCTGGTTTGGCTTCTCCCAACCACTTGGCATCATCTACAGTGATGGTGACGAATTTCCCAACCCCAAAAGTCTGTACCCCATATTGAGTCAACCCGCAAATTCCCATAGTCGCCGCATCTCAATCAAAAACTTCGAACGATCATATCTTTCTCGTTCTTGCTCCGATCGCGGCGATTCTCGGTTCGTCGGAAAGCTCTCAAGCAGAGGAGTCACTTCAGATATCTGCTCAAGGCAAA